CACTTATGTGTTTAAGTTCACGCTCATCACTTATTTTCATGTTTTTATGTATTTTTTTTTCTCCAAAGAGCATGAATTTATATTTTGTAAATGACATACTTTCATGTAATGGTTTTGTCAACGGTGTCATGGAAAAAGTACAGATTTCAAGTATGTTGGGGGGCTAGGGCAGTAACAGGCAATGAAGCACAGAGTATCAGCTGTGCAGCCTGCTGCTGTAGCTGCAGCTCTCTGCACTGCATGGCCGAAAAGCAGGGATTTACAGTTTAACAGAAGGACATCGTTCCTGGTAGGCTCTGTTCGCGCCGGTGAACATGACAGCCCCTCCCTCTTGCTTCCGCCTCCCCCCCCGGACTCGGCCATGCATAATGCATGAGGCCCATCCGATAATCTTCCACCCTGCCATTATCAGAAGCTAATCAGCGCCCGCTGTCTCCCCGCTGTGCTACCAGGCGAGCTAGGACACTCATGGGGGGTGGAGAATGCGAGTGACACGACAGCAGCATGCAGGAAGTGCCGTAATTGGTCCCATAATCCAAATAAATGCCTCTTTAACAGTGGTCCTAAGGCACTGAGGATTTACGCATTTAATGCCCCCCCCGTATCTCCTAACAGACATTTGATGGTTCTTGTTCTATCATTTCTACCTCTGTTATGAGAAATGAAGGGGGTTTGTTATCCTTTTGATTGCCAAAAAAAAAACTATACCCAGCAGTGTGCCGGATCAATATTTCTGTTGTGGAGGAGTGCTTTAGACTCGACTGCTTGAAATAAATCCAGGCTAATAAAAGGGAACTTGGGATTGGACGATGGAGGGGTGGGGGGCATTTGGAGTGCAGTGGGGCAGGACTTCTGTAAGCCTGCCTCCACAGTATGGGAAAGCCCTATGCCAGTCTGGAAATGCATGGCTTTCCTGAGGGGGACAGGTGGGGGAGAACTCCTGCTGGGGGGGGGGGGGGGGTGGCAAATTTTGTTTGTGGCACTTCTTCGTAACTGCTCTGCTGAGTCAGGTGGTGTTCTTGCTCTCAAGATGGAGTGCTTTTCTTTCCAGAGCTGGCCTCCTATCAGAGAGATATTATAACATAGCCCACCCCCCAACTAAGGAAGTCGAAATAGGTTGTAGGGATGTCTCAGTTACACGTAAACATGTTGCATTATTAATGTGTCTCGGGATGCTGTGATATTAACAGGCCAATTGGGTCACATTTGGGTACATTTAATTGCGCCCGGTGGGTAATTGAAGACTTGCCCGCCCTCTCTGGCGCTGGGAGGCGGCGACAGCCCCCGTTTTCACCTGCCGTGGGTAGTTTCCCTTTCAGTAGCACCATTGCTGCCCATCAGTTTCCTGCTTAGTGCAGTGCTTGGGATGGGAGAATCGCTGTGATAAATGTCACATTTGGTCATTTTGGTTTGTTTGCTTGTTTTTTTTACTGCTTTTTTTTTTACTGAGGTTTAAATGAAGCTTCTGTGAGCCTCAGGAAAACAGCTGCTTGTTCTCAGTTTCTTACCGTAAAAACCCACAAGTCTCCAAATGGTCTATTCTAGGGCTGCAACGATTCATCGAATAACTCGATGACAAAAAATCCTCAATGCTTCGATGCTTCGTGTAATCTGCACGACTGTGTACTGCTTAGTGATCGCTGTGTTTCACTCGGAGGATTATTGACACTATTTAAATTTGGCAACTTGCAGCAGGCTGACAGCAGCCTTCACACTTTGTCACAGTGATACCTGCAGCATGCAGGGGTCAGTCTAAAGGGGATCATGGGGTGTACTCAACTACATCTATTTCAAGGCTTTAGTAATATTATTTTGGAAATTTAGATTAATATGAATAACACTACATAATTATAATAATGTAAATAATATAAATATAATATAAAAATTACCCACCCTCCTCCCCCAACAGTCTGGGGCCAGTAAAAGTCTGACACTGAATTACCATTATTATTTCCTCTCTTTTTCAGTAAATCAGTCTTATGGACAGCTTTGTTCGGGCAGCTACACCATGTTCAGTTCAGCAAGCTGCTGAGTTGACCGGCAGCATTTTGAGCAAACTCTCACTCACATTCACTTACACACATGAACATGTACACACCATTCCTACCTCATCCAGGAGATACAATCCTGTCAGAACCTTTTTTTTATGCCTCCTATAAATGTACAAGAATACATAAAGACCATTTTTAATTTATGGCTTATATGCATACCTTTTTCAGTAATTTTATTTGACATTATTTTTACATTTAAGAAAGTGTTTTCTTTTTAAAAAAACAAAACAAAACAAATATGTACATAAATGTACTAAAATGGTTTAGTTCTTTTGTCAGTTGTATGGAGTTCAATCATTTAAAAATGTTCCTGAAAAGGAAACCCATGAGTTCTTCATTTTAAGAGACCTGTCTATTTTTTCTTTTTTGAATAATTACTATTGCTCTTTAATAAGACAAAAGTATTTCCGAGGAATAATTGATAGAATACCCAATTACTAAAATAATTGATAGCTGCAGCCCTAATCTATTCCCAGTTTTACCCAGGCTCGTCTGTGGGTGTTTCTCACTCTCCCTTCAGAGCTAACACCTCCAGCTGGGGACACCCTCGTGCTCCATGCCAGCTAAATCGGTGGCTGGTAGCCCGGCAGCTTGAACAACGCAGGCCTGTTTTGCCTTGGATACCTTGGCGGAAGTGTCCAAAACGCATTCAAGGGTAGGCCTTTGAGAAGAAGAATGTCTCCATTGCCGAAGAGGAAAGCCAGGCTCCTGTTGGTCAGGAAGTAATGAGGGACCACAAGCACAATGGTGGTCAAAAGAAAAGCCGTTTGACTCTCAGGAGTGGGTTTAACCTTGATCTGTTCAAGATGCTCTTATTTATATGTGACTACCAACAGGAGGATCCTCATTGGTTCTTTCGTGTGTAGTCAGCTATACCTCTCCTAACAGTCAATGTATAGTTCTGCGTCTTTTATGTTTGACAGCATTGGACACAGTCCTTGCGGGACTTTAACCCTACTAGGTCAGTTATGAATCTGCTGTACTAGGCTGATGTAGTTAACAGCTCCTCTTCTGTGTTCTGAACTTAACAAAGTCTTCTGTCCGCGTCTGTCTTGGTAGCTAAAAGTGACTGATTTAAATTTGCCTGCTCTTGAGTTTACTGGCCTCATGCTGAATAAATGTAGCAAATGATGGCAGTGAAAGGCACTGGCTTTGCTCCAGGTGGGCCCAGACGTGGGCACGACAGCGGCCTGACACCGAGGCTGCTGCCCCTTCGTTACGCTCAAAGTCTGGGTCTCGGTCAGGGAGCCTCTCTGAGGTTTAATGGCATGGACTGAATGGCTTTCTGTTTAAAGGGCCCGCCTTGTGTTTAGTGAAGTTGACTCCTTTTTCCAAAGCCGGCACCGCAATGAATGGTGTTCATTCATTCCTGTGAGTTAACTGCAACAGTTCAATGGAAAACAAGTCGCGTGTTTGTCATGGGAACCCCGAAACTGCTGTATGTTAGGGTCTCGGAAACCTGCTTGCTTGCTTGTCAGTAACGTTGATATGAAACTCATCAGGCTTGCTATTGAAAGAGGGGTGTGTTTGTGTGTGTGCTGGTGGGGGAGGCATGCTGCCAGTTACCAAACCTTTCCAGCTGGGCCTGGAGAAAGCCCAACCCATGGGCCTCAAAGACATTCACCCGTGAAGCAGATAGCTAGTCAGTCGACAGTTAAGCCTGTGACAACGTTCATTTCATTCATGTATCGTTGTGATGCATCCTTTGATTTGCACCAGATCTTGCAGACTTGCAGATAAGATGAAATTGCAGCATGAAATGTAAATGGGTTGGCATTTGGATCGTATGGATATTTCAAGGAAATTCAGAGCAGTTATGGAACCGCCTCCAGCGGGCCTCCCTTTCTGGCCACGGGCCATGTTTGAGTCATCGTCTTACACCAATAACTGTGGCCGCCTTGGCACGCTGGGCAGCGAGGTGCCCACTGAAATGTTGGCAGGAAGAGATGATCCCTCATGACCGGCAGACCTGGCTGCCCCATTCTGTTATGATTTTTTATTTATTTATTAATGAGCTTTTTTTAATATATATTTTTTTATTATTCTGTAATCGAGAGACCTGTGTCCCACTAGGGGCAATCCAAAAATTTGATTCATGGAAGCTCTGGTGAGGTAGAAGTATCCCTCACCATACAGCGAGCCAGATATTATACTGTCTGAAGTGTGGTACCTTGTTATATTGACTTTTCTCTGAAAGCTGTTATTGTTAGAACTTTCATACTTTTTCTAGTGATGAAGAAGCCTGCAGTTTTTTGTATAAAGTAGCTCAAGGAATATTTTTGATGTACCAGATATAGTACCGGCTATGTTAGTGCTGTCAAAGCATTTTGGAATAGTTTTGCCTGCTTCTCATCGTTCGACAAGTTTGTAGCGTTTCACGGTTTTGCAAACTTAAGCATAAGACCATGAATACAGATGGTCACCTGACAGCCATGCGTCTGTCCTGAAGCTAATGACCTCGTAATGATGCCGTGTCCTCCATGGTTTCTGTTATAAGTCTTCAGGGCAGATTCCTGCAGTTTGTAGCCACTGCAGATGGCCTTTGTGTGCCCGACAAGGCCTCATTCGGTTGAATTGTGGGCTGCCTGTTTCTAGGGACTGTATGAAAATTCACCAGGAGGTGTTCTGTTGGGAGGAGGTGTAGAATTAATGATGCACATGGAGTAGAGGATTGTGAATGTAGGGGATCTCCTTAGCTCATTGTAGAACATGCACTTGAAACCTACAGTTTCGTTTTAAAGAACGATGTTCCATTCATGCAACAGCCATACCCCCTACAAAGAACAAAATGCTTAGAATGCTTTGTGCCAATAGCTGCTGTGATCACCTGACAAGGAGATGTATCATTTTAGGGACCTGCTCTGCATACTCCCTCCCCTCTGTAATGTCTGGGATCAGCCATCTGTGATCTTCTTCAGACCTCATCTGTTTATGTTGCTTCTCTTCTAGGAGACATTGCAGCAGTTGATTATGATGCCCCTTCCCGATGTGCTGGTGCTGGGGAGAAACCCTCTCACTGGTAAGTCATCCAGGTCTGCCTCAATTGCAACCCACAGTCATGTGCCCTTAGGCCTCACAGAACCCCATAACTTGTAGGACTGTAAAATTTCAATAGTTGTCACCACATTCATAGGATTAATATTTGTATTGTAGTCAGAGAAACAGGATGTTGTTTGTTTTGATATGTGCTGTTTCAGTATCACTTAGACAAATTGATTTCATTAATTTTTACAAAGCTAGTGGTTCATCGCATGTAAAATTCCCTCCTTGTCAGAATACCACTATTCCTTGCTTTGTGATTGACCTTTGAACCCAGGGGTATGCAGGACAATGGCATATAATCTGAATGGGATTGGTCTCTGAGTTATGATGTGATAACCTTTGAGTTGCCTGTGAAGGAGTAATCTTTGCCGCAAGAGTTTATGAAAGGCAGCTTTTATTTAGTAGCTCAATAGTTCATTATACCACATGTTTGTTTTTTTACAGTGAGTGTCAAATATTGAATATTTTTAGAGAATTGTTGCTATCCAGCACTCCAATAGACAAATGTTAGATTTGAAGACCTGGGCAAAGACGTTTGTCAAAATAGTTAGGTATCAGGGTTTTTGGTGCCGAACAGAGGAGTGAAATCTAAAAAGCTTGCTTTAAGAATGAATTTCAAATCTGTTACAATAAGTTTTTTTCATGTAACAAAAAGACAAGAGGCAAATTCTACCACAAAAAATGTTCAGGATTTGTTTGTGACAGGCCTATGCTTCTCCAAGAAATGAAGGTATTTTTTTGAGAAATACAAGCATCTCTGCATTTTTTGAGAGAGGAGTATTTTCATCCAAAATGTGTGTGGCTGTACTGAACAACTGCTTACTCTGTACCTGTGATTGGAGCACAAAGAAACTGTGGCGCTCATATTTCTCGTACTCCTCTCAGTGAAGACTCCGATATCTAATGAGGTTTGTGGTGTTGAATGCTTTGGCAGAGCAACTTCTTCAGCACATATGTTACAAATTGCAAATCCTTCATCTTTGAAAGATTTCTGCTAAAACTTGGAGATGACCGTGCCTTTGCCATGTTCGTTATTTGTGGAATTGATATTTGAGATCGGTCAATTTTTTAAATCGGTTCGTGATCGATCGGAACATCTCTATCAATTGTTGATAGTTTTACCCTATTCTGGACCGCTTCGGGAGGTTAGGTAACTTTATTACTTTTTGTACACAAAACAAACTAACATTTTTTTTGTGGTCTTTGAAACATTTGTGATTTTTTATGAGGGGGTACATTCATACAAAATGTTAAAGTAATAAAACAGCTAAGCTTTTATGCTTTGTCCTGCAGAAGCTTAGCCTGTGACCTTGTATGTGTGCCACAAATGCTCAGACAGCAGCAGCTGTCTTGATGCGTTTAAGTTGAACAATAACTACTGTTTACACACCGTTGCTCCGCTAAAACAGGTGGGCATCAGTTTGCTGTCAGTATTTTCTTTCACATATGGGTGAGGAACAGCAGTTTGAGGCAACAATGCCCATGTTAGCAGAATTTGAATGTGGTAACATAATTATTAACTGGTACTAATTCACGGTGTTGAAGGAATGCTTTAGAGTACAGGGAGTTTTAAGTTTGGTTTATTTTTCATGTAGTGGATGTCAATGCTCTTTTTTTAAATATTATAGATGGTTTTGTTAGGGAGATGAACCAGCAAACTCCTGTTTTAATGTGATTTAATTTAATCTTGCCCCCCCCCCCCCCACGTGCTACCGTTAACCTTTGTCGTTAATCAAAGCAGTAGCAAATGGGTAGTGTGATATCTAAGGGTCCTGCCTGACCGATGGCGGGGCTGACACATGCTGAGTGTGCTGGTGACTCCCCAGAAGGATCTGCTTCCTGTTCCTGTGCACAATGGATGAGCAGGAAGTGGGGCAAGGCTCCGGCGGCTCACCCGCATCGGCGCGGCCCATGTGTTTCCTGACAGGATGGGGGGACATTGTGATGAGCAGAATATTGCCTACTGTGATTCAGCCACTCGCTGGGCTCCATCTACAGGAAGCCTCCAACTTCCATTCGCTATTTTAATCCCCTGCCTGCCTTCTCTCTCACTGCCCCTGTCTTCCCCCTCCTTCCCTCTCATATGTTCTTTGTTCACTTCCAGTCAGTCCCTTTAAATTATTCATCAAGAGCCTGTTTCTTATCTTCAGCCCTTCTGGACATTTTCCTTCATAGATCACATTATTGGCCTTGCACATGAGGCTTTCATTGTGCACACACACGTACCAGCCCAAGGCCACAAGCCTCTTATCACGGTAGAAAATTTCAATGGCTACCTTTAGGTTCTTTTTTTCCCTTCCAGCCCTGATAGCATGCTCTAGATGCTCTAGATGCATCTGAGCGTCAATAGCAGTGTTCAGTTTCATCACACTCTGAAATCACGGTCAGGGTGGGCCATTTTTATTGAAGGTAGTAATTGGAGGCTATGATGGTCTAAATATGAAGAGAAATTACGTAAACGAACATTAACACGGTATGAACGTGTCCGTCTGGCAAAATGGGCACATTAGCAGTTGTATTAATGGTTAATCGGTACCCTAGTATGCCACCTGCTCCGCCCCCGCCATGTAAATCTGTCATCACAGCATAATCTTGCTGGGCTGTCTCTCTTCTTGCTCCACTCCTTCATTTAGCCGAAAGGAGGTCACTCCTGAACTAGTTTATTATAACTTAATGTCCAATGCTTTGAGCACTAATGAGCTCACATAGTATATTAACTGTTATTCCTCAATAGCCTTGTTTGTGTCTTTATTTATAGTATAATTGTAATATAAATGAAGTGACTGATCTCTGTACCAGTTCTAAGTTTTCTGCCTCAGAATGTGATGTGCTTTCTCTGAGTCCAGACAAGGGCTGTACTCTGAAATATCATTTTCAGAAACAACAGCTTTTTTGGATTGTAACACAAACTTTCAATTTCTGCCTATATACTAGTAGTAGCAGTTGGATATATCTTTAGTTTTTAGCTGTACTAAAACACTCCTCAAAATGGAACTGAATGCTGGGAGGCATTCATTCATAGTTTGTCATATTTATTTTTGCATTTTTTGTGGTTCTGAATTAATGCATACCTGTTATGTTGTTTCCGCTTTCAAGCTCATACAAAGCTAAAAGTCTGACCTGACGACAGCTTAATTTTCTCTGGGCACAGCTGAGCCGCAGCAGTTGGCCATTTGACAGCATGCGGAAGGTCATGTGAACTCCATGCAGTTGTAGCAAGAGCAGGGCATATGCTGTGACCAGGTGCTGATGGACTCGAAGTCCAGCCTGTTAAACTGGTGCAGGCCTTATGTCTAGGCCCTGGTGGTGACTAGTGTGGAGACTAACATTTCCAGTTCAGGTCACTGTTTGCTTTTCCTAAGGAAAACGCATTGACTTGTAATCATGGTCAAAATACACCCTTGAACATCTTTGGTTAAGCTGAAAAGGGTTTTTTTTCCCTCTAAAGTGGATATTTCCTTTATGAATTGTGTTCATGAATTTGCAATGAACCTGAGAATGCCATTGGATGATTAGCAAAGCCAGGGAAATGTTAAGTGTGCTAACCTTGCTTACTTCCTGGTCCATTACACACACCCACTCTCGCATCGATTTTTGTCTCTATCAGCACTTTCATGGAGTCGTTCCTCACCATTAGCCCATTAGCTCTTGTCTCTTACTGCAGCCTGTAGCTGTTAAGGCCAGTGGCCTTGAGCTCTATCGCCACTTTCCAAGCCAAAAGCAGCCGCTCCCTCCAACTATCCCTTTGAGCCCAGCTGTGGTCACACATCTGCCAGTCGCATTAGGGTTGTGTCTGTCCTGTGTGAGTGCTAGTGTCTGCTGCTGCTGTCGCAGTTCTTTCTGGAAGTAAGCTCCTTTTTTTTTAAACCCCCTAAGCCCCTGTTTGCCGTCTCAGGTTCTCTGGTCCAGCAGGCTCTCCTCTCTGTCTGACGAACTTGCTTATTAAGGCCCAAGCCAGGCACCAGACGGCCAGCCTGTTAATCCACCGACCAATCCTCTAGATTAATCGATCTGCACCCTCAGTTTAGCAGCTCGGCAGCTGAGGGTGTCGTCATTCTGTCATCCTCTTCCTCATTTCTTCATTTATACTGCATTCTCGCTTTCCTCCTCCAACTGCTGGTTTTGCATCGATCATTAAAGTCACTCGCATGTTTTTTGCTTCCAGCTTACCCTGGTTCTCATGCAGGGAAGCTCTGTCGTTGGACTGTTATCCAGCTGGGTGTCTGCAGGACAGTGGAGTGCTGGTCTTTTTGATGTCTTTGCATATACATCCTGTCCAGCAGGCTGATTACAGCTTGTGTTGTGTGTTGTGTGTGCACGCCTGCGGTGATACCAAGCTGCCCTTCGGTGGGGAGGGAATATGCCACAAGCCAGGAGTGTTTCCAGTACCAGGCCTTTTTTCTCAATGCCTATTCGTGTCCTTTGTATTTATGTCATGGTTCTAAAATAACTTGTGGCCGAACCATGAAATCGGTCTCTACAAATGCTTTTGTGAGCTTGGATCACCACTGTTTTTGAGGTTTGTTTACTTAGCTGATGCCACAAAATTATTTACACATCTGCTGAGGAACCTCACTGATGGGAACGAGCAGCACTCTGAGACTGAAGCCAGCAGGAGCATTAACACTCGATACCTTTGCTCTCGCTGCTGATGTTGTTGGGGGTCAGACTGATACGCAGAGCTCTGCATTAACACACATTTTCCTTGCAGAACAAGGGCTGGATGAGGTGAAGAAGCTGCTGCTGCTGCTGTTGGGCTGTGCTGTTCAGGTGACCTCTCTCGACATGTCATCTTGCTCCTTCACATGTGACCTTCCCACAATGCCTCTTTCACTAGTTCGGCATATGAGTGTGTACATTCAAATGATAAATGTCTAACTTCTAGTCAATTAATCCAAAGCAAAGAGCTGGTAATCATGCGGTACGAGAACGGCCGAGGGCTGCTCATACCCTGTGCACCAGAAGCTCTGGTATCCTGATGGATAAACATCAGATTCTAGATAGGAGACTGACTCCTCTCTGCTGTCTCTTCACTGCAGTGCGAGAAGAAAGAGGAGTACATCGAGAAGATCCAGACCTTAGATTTCGACACAAAAGCGGCAATAGCATCTCACATTCAGGAGGTATTTAACAAATTTCTATTTGGTGCATCATATCAGATTACATAATACAAGTTATTATCGATTTCATTATCGCCCATGGTTTCATTCTTGACTGTGAAGCTTACAGATGTCCTGCGCAGTTGTAAGCTGTAAACCCCATGCTTTGCCACATAGGTGACCCACAACCAGGAGAACGTGTTTGACCTGCAGTGGGTGGAGGGCGACGTGTCCCATGAGGACCTGGAGTCCCTGTCCAGGAACATGGTGTTCCACCTGAAACGCCTCGTGGACGAGCGGGACGAGCAGCTGGAGGTACAGAATGTCAAAAAAAACGGAGGGACCGTTTTTCATCAATCCTAAAAAAATCAGAGGTGCCCTTGTAATATGAAAGGTTATGGGGCGGCGTGTAGAATGGCTGCCAGCCATGTGGGGGGGCAGTAGGCAGGAAATAAATACAGGATGAATAAAGAGCCTACTAGTTAAGGCATTGCTGGGTGAGCAGGGGGTCACCCGCCTCCATGTTTGGTAAAATGAAACTGTCCACCTCAGGGCTGGATTCCCTTAATTAAAATGCTCTCCCTTCAGCTGTGCAATGAATTATCACTGGAGAGGAAGCAAATTTAGTCACGCTGTTGGGTTCTGATTAAATGTGCCCCCGGGTTGTTCTTGAGTGTGTTAGTGGTCCCACCTATTGGGGATGTGGTGTCCCCCTCCTGGAAGGGCCTAAACATTGTCAGATCCATAATCCAGACATCCCTGAACAAGGCAGGAAGATATGTGCTTCTGGTAATAGCACCTTAACTCATCTGAGCATCTCCATGGTGATGAGATGCTGTTAAACTCAATAGCAATTTAATCTGTCTTCTGCACTGAGTTTGAAGTTCTTTAGCTAATGGCCGCATGGTCATTAGTGAATTAAAGTTGGTATAGTCAATACTATGTTGAAGATATAATTTATGTAAAACCCTCAGGATCAACTGATCATTGCTCCCTAATACTGTGTGTGGCATTCGGAAATACATGTCCATCCTATCCCCATCAGGCAATTGTGGAGCTGACCCAGGAGAGAGACTGCGGCCGAGGGTCTCCTCCTGAGGCCGGGGCCCAGTCCCCCAACGGCTCCCCCAGCATGCGTCGCACCGAGAGCCGCCAGCACCTCTCGGTGGAGCTGGCCGACGCCAAGGCCAAGATACGGCGACTCCGTCAGGAGCTGTAAGTCCCCCGCTGGCTCCTTGCTGTTCCCAGTTACACCAATTTTCCCTGGTGAATCACTGTCACGGGTTTGGGGATCATCCGTGTTTAATGGCCCGACAGGTTCAAAGTTTTAAGAATTCTAGTATTAATATTAAGAATGCTAACTATTACACTTTAGGATGTGTGTAACGTAATCAAGACTCGTAATTCCAAGCAAAATGACTGAACAATTAAATGACTGAACAATTGGATGGATAAGCTTTGTGTACTGTTAAGGTCGTGTCTATAAGATAGTCTAATAGTGGCCAGACCTGAAAGTTTAATATTTCATTGGTTATTCTTGGTTTTGGTCTTCCATAATAAAAAACATGTATGTAAGCATAAGAGGATGATTAAACCAATTAATTTTTTGGGGAAAAAAATGATTGGAATGAGTTGCTTGACTGATTATTAAAGGTTTGTGAACAGCGTTTCTCATTAGAAGAATGAATACATCTATTTTTTTAATGAGTAATGAGCGTGAAGCCTGCAGCCTGATTTGTGTTTGAGCTGAGGGGAGGCTGAGCCACGAGCGTATCTTCCTCAGACACATGGGGGCGAGTGCCTGATACGACGTCTGTTTTGGCCCAGGTTCGAGATGGCTTGATGTGATAAATGGCTTTGTGCTCGGTTGACCTACATAGTTTCCATGTTTTTACCGGGAGCCCATTTTAACCTTTTTGTCTGCGTTCATCCCCCTAACCGAGAAGGGAAATGCCCTCGCGCTGCGGTCTGCTGTGGCTGACATTATGGCGTGACCATTACAGAATTGTCCCCACCCGCAGGCTAAAGCAAAGCGTGTGGCGGGTGATGGATTAGGCGTGCCGGTGTTTTGTGGAGATTACAGATGGAAGGCGCACAGCTGGTGCGTTACCTCCGTTCAGGCTCAGCAAGGGCGTCTGTCATGAGCGTCTGCCGTCGGCTCCCTGGTCGCAGTTTAGTGCGGCTCCACCCTCCAGCATGGCTACTGGTGCCTTCTGTCATGCTTGCAGTGGTGGCATTGTGCATCCCAGACAGTGGTGGGTTTAAGCGGCTGGTCTTTGGGTCTTTGAGAACCTGCTGCAGTTGAGGCATCAGCAATCCAGGTGGACTGGCTGTCATCAGACTTATGGGATCCCCAGAACGTGCCTGAGGCCGGAGCATGCGCACGCCAGCCGGCACACACTCACTATTGCCCTCTAAATCTCGGATGGTGGGCGGTGGGCTGGGGGGTGGAGTATTCATATTCCTGGAGCTTCAGCTTACCAACCCACATACCCCCCCCCTCCCCTGCCCGCTTTGAACCCTCTAGGGAAACGACACGACAGAAATAGTTTTATTTTTATGGAAACATTCATTAAGGATGTAGGGATCGGTGAGGCAGAGCTAGGAGACTGCCAAAGCGATTGTAATTGAAATGGATTCCAATGAAGCTTCCGGCTCTGTTGCTCAGGCCTGAACTTTTTCTGAGCTTCAGGATGGAGCTTTTTCATTTTATGTGATACTGTACTGTACAGGGTTTCATGTGTTGTTGGCTTTGTGGGTTTTTTTTTGATAATCATTTTGTTCCAAACGTTCCAAAGGTTGGTGACCCCGGCGGCGCGATCTCTCCCTTTAGACTCTGTACTGCGGCGCAGAACCACGCCAGCGTACTCATGGCAGTCCATGTCAATTCTTTGTGTCCTGCTGCTTTGTCTGTGCACCATCCTCGACCGTCGCCTCCCAGGAAATTCAGATGCACTGAAAGGGTGCTTTGAGTGTGGATAGGTTCTATTGTGAAGCGACACAATGCGGTACGTGTAGCAGAATCAGGGAAACATGCAGGAGTGTGTTTTCATGTGCTTTGCGTGGCCTGCTCTGATGGCTGCCATTGCAGGTTTCTTTCATGGCAGGCCTGCTGAATCTTTCAGTGTTGCTTTGGAGTTTTACAAGCGGTTTCAGCTCCTGTGGTTTTCTTTATTTAATCAGGATGCATTTGAATTGCTTTTAATTTGTTTTTGCTTTCTGTTCGCTGCCATCTTCTCTGCAGCAGCCCAGTGAATCTGGCAGTGATGTTTGTGGCGTAAGGAAGGTTACTGGAGCCCTTGTAGTTTTGCCAGCAATCATTTTGACCCACATCTCAAAAATGGGGGGAAAAAAAACTGCTGTATATTTACGAGCTCGTGTTGCCCCCGAAAGCAGGGAGCTGACGCTGTCATGTTCTCTGCTTGCTCCCCCAAGGGCTGTGACTCGTACAAACAAGCGCTTTCCTGTTGAACAAGCACCAAGAACCGCTTCGCATACATTAGAATGTCAACATGTGCATCATTTTCTCTGAAGCCCGTAGGAACCGGAGAGCTGTCATCTCCAGCTTGACATTAAAAAGCAAGAGATCTGAGATCATTGGCATGCAGTGTGAGAATAGCTGGAAAAACTAGTATTTTTTGCATGTTAAGAGTTGATGTGATTTTGGCAGGAGGAACCCGACCATTTTTTACAGTTGGAGATTTGATTTATTGATTTTAATGAGTTTCCTCTTTTCATTGTATGGTTAATAAATGGGAAACCTTTGTATTCTAGATGTGGCTGGACATAAAGTACAAATATGGAAGTGATAAGGTGACTAGATGTTTGAAGAGGTTCATATTTTCTTATAGTTTGGCACACAAAATTTGGCACTGACAGCACTGATTTTTAATACTACACATCCGCACACTTATACCTTGTTTCCATCAACAAGGACCCATTTTTTTGTAGCCTAGAATTATTTATTATTTGTCTGTAGAACCATGTGAAACCTGTTTCGTATTAAGAATCGGCCCAGCACTGGCTCCAGCATCTCGTTGGTGGAAAAGGGGTATCTGTGACTTCTCCTGTGCTTGTGGGCCTTCAGCCTCTGCAGGATCTGCTGTAGCACCTGGGGTCAAAAACATATGTTGCAGCTTTGTTTGTGTGCAGTTATTCAACCAGTGATTGTCTGCTTGTTTTTTTCTCATCAGAGTGGCATAATTATAAAGTGATAAAGTTGGCAGGTTCCTTAAGATGTGCATTTTCTCCTTTCATCACGAGTACATCCTGTTGGTGCAAAAGTGGTAGAGCTTATATACTAAGGCAGTACTTGAGCGGCCATTGGTGCAGCGATCAGGCAGCATGAAGAAAGATGTGCACGGCATCTGTTTACATAACATTTTGCACCCTTCCAAGCAATCATCTCAACAATGTGACCTTCATACAGCCATCGACGGGTCCCTTCAATAAGAGGGGCTTTTTAGGAGCAGTACAGTGACAACAGGTTCAGTTTGTTTGTTGGATTTGTATGTCCGTGGCTGTAATTACATGTATACACACACCAGCAATGTGTGTATATATAAAACACACATATATTGTGGTTACACACAGCTCCGTTCTTCTGCAGGTGAAGTATTTTCTGGTCAAATCAAAAACTAGTGCTTTGGTCTATGGCAGAGGTGCGTTTTTTTTGCTGGAAATATGGACTGACGAGAGTATCCAGGAACTGGATGCAACACACAAAAACTCAGACATTTGGTAAATTACGGGTTTTTCTTATACATGCAGCACAATTAAATTGAAATTGCTGTGTTGCATACTCAGTAAATCTATGAGGGCCGTGTGTCATCCAAATCAGCCACAAAATAAGAAGATCAATCGTGCTGGGTGGTAGTGCTTTTCTTCCTGTGTTTTCTTTAATGTAAAAAGTCACATAGTGATGATGGACGCATGCTGAGCAAACATCCACTACTCTGCTCTCTGTTCTTGCTGAAAAGGTCCATCTGTCTGTCTCTTATCGACAGAGAGGAGAAGACTGAGCAGCTCATGGACTCCAGGCAGGAGCTGGACAGTATGGAGGTGGAGCTGAAGCGAATCCAGCAGGAGGTAGAGAGCTGTGCGGTCAATTTGGCACAGAGACCCTGCAGATCGCCATGAATAACACCCCAGCGAATCGGCGAATTAAAATGCCCTGAAGAGCTGTCAACACGTGTCTCTCACAACCTGCTGTGAAGAGCCTGCTGAAGAATTAGCTTAATATCTCAGAGCCATTAATCAGAACCTGTAGCTGACTTGTAGTTTGCTCTTGGGTGTGTCTCCAGAGCATGTAGCTGACCAGTAATATGCATTTGGGTGCATCTTCCAGAGCATGTGGCTGACCTGAGGTTTGTGTTTGGATGTATCTTCCAGAACATGCAGCTGTTGACAGAGGCCCGCTCAGCCAGGGCTTACCGTGATGAGCTGGATGCCCTGAGAGAGAAGGCGATACGAGTGGACAAGCTGGAGAGTGAAGTAGGGCGCTATAAGGAGAGGTTGCACGACATCGAGTTTTACAAGGCCAGGGTGGAGGTACGGCGAGGAGAAGCTGGAAACATCAACACAGTCATGGAAACTGCTCATTTAATCTCCGTAATTTTAAAAGTATAGGGAGGGAAAAACAGGGGCTGTGTATGAATGTGTGGCCTCTGGATTTGCAGGAGCTAAAGGAGGACAACCAGGTACTGCTGGAGACCAAGAGTATGTTGGAGGAGCAGCTGGAGGGGTCGTGGGCACGCTCTGACAAGCTGCACGAGCTGGAGAAGGAGAACCTGCAGCTCAAGGCAAAAATCCATGACATGGAAATGGTGAGTCTCTCTGGGAGGTGGGGTCTCCGTTGTAGAAGCAGCCTGGAGATCTCGTGCTAATGATCTGTGGTGGCATTCTCGGTTGTGGCATGGGGCTTGTGAGGGCTTTGTGGAGCAAAAATCCATTTCAGAGTATGCATGTACTCTTAGGACCGGGACATGGACAGGAAGCGCATCGAAGAGCTTTTGGAGGAGAACTTGAACCTGGAGATGGCCCAGAAGCAGAGCATGGAGGAGAGCCTGCATCTGGGCTGGGAGCTGGAGCAGCTCTCCAAGACACCAGACCACTGCGAGGGTAAGCAGGCAGATTGGTACATTTTAATTATGCTTGATTGATTAAAGTAATTAATAACCTACATTTTTTCAGACTAATGTTAGACCACCTGCAGTTAATTATTGCTAAGTAGCCATCCTGCACAACAGAGTGTTTACACAGATTCATCAGAGGGCATAATAGGTTTCTATTTTGAGGCCGCACTCATTTGGTGGTTGATTCCATAAATGTTGTGTTATGATTGTCTAGAGGTGCTGACCGTGTTCGTGTTTGTTTGGCCTGTGTCTGACTGGAAGTTGGCCCAGAGCTGGCAGCACTCAGCGGAATGCCGTTACTTTTGCCTCATAGTGCCGCAGAAGTCCCTGGGCCACGAGGTGAATGAACTGACATCCAGCCGGCTTCTGAAGCTGGAGAAAGAGAATCAGGCCCTGCTGAAAACGGTGGAGGAACTGAGGGCGGCAATGGGCCCAGCCAAGGAGGGCAGGCCGGGCTTGCTCAGTGTCCAGGTTGAAAACCAGAGACTGACCCAGAAGGTGAGAAGGCGCATGAAGGCCTGGGTTAGTGCTGCTGCGTTTGTGGTGGAAAAACTAGATGAACTCACTGTGGGTCCCAAGGATCTGACTGGGAAACACTTCCCTTAGAAGTCAAGCAGAGCCAGAAACATGCTCAAGGTTTTTTGAGAATTTTTTTCCGAGGCAATTCTTCCTGCATATGGGAAACTTCTTTCAGTCCTCCAATTAATACTAAGCTTTCAGTGAACAAAAGCCATAAAACGTCTTGCCTGCTAACTAAAGATAGACTAAATCCTCAGGTTTCACATCGAGGACTTTACGGCCAACTCTATACATTCCATCAGCTTTGAGATCAATTTGCATTTCACTCAAATTAGCTGAGCTTTTTGCCAGATGTCGCACAATTGGCTGGTCGCATGCAAAGCCGCTTACAAAGACTTTGGTGACTCAACCTATTTGCTCTAATAATACTTATCTGGCAGAGCGCGCACACACACACACACACACACGCGCACACACACGGGAACAGCTGCAACATTAAATTGGATCCTTTCAGGCAGCCTCCGATTACCATTGCAGGACACTTAATGACTGAACCACTCATTTGCAAATGATGCAGAACTTCCTCCTCCACAGCCGTCGTTAATCAGCTGGAGAGAAATGAGTGTTAATTGATGCAGGCAGACTGAATCTGTGGAGCCTGGCTCCAGCTGTCTGCCTGGATAACCCATGCGTGACCAGAGCCGCTGCAGGATAAACGGAAGTCAGACTCCCCACTGTGGTCCATACTTGTCATGAATGCGTGTCACTTCCTGTCCAGCACAGTCTTGTTGGAAGGCATATCACGAGTGGTGCATCATGTGAATAATGAATGCTGAGGAACTGGAAGCTTTAGAGCAGATTAAAGCTTTATCAGCTGACTGTTACATCAAGTTTATGTGCATTGTATTCCACTAAAGATGGTAATAAAACAAGCATTAAAAACGAGCACAGTCTGTTATGGTAGCTCTTTGTATCTGAATTATAGCTTAGAATATATGGTCATGCCTCGATGAATTTTGTGGACCTTGTGATTGAAGATATTCAGAATGAGGTCATTAACTAAGTCATTCTGTAGCATGGGTGTGTGGTCAGTAAATGGTTAAGTGTGCATTTTACTGTGACGTTACCCCCTGTGCAGCTGGAGCAGTTGGAAAGCGAGTTGCTCTCAGAAAGGCAGAGCCTGCAGGGTGTCGAGAGCCTGAGCGGGGACCTGATGAAGGAGAAGGCTCAGCTGGAGAAGACTCTGGACACTTTGAGGGAGAACTCTGACAGACAGGTAGGCCACTCTGCGGGGGCCAGGCCACTGATATCAGAGCACAGCGGCTGCAGATGGTTTTCATGGATTTGTCACTTTTTTTATTAAATAACACAGGAACATTTCTGGGTCCCTTCTGGGATTGCCAGAGGTGGGGCTTTTGGTCATCCTGTCATAAGGCATTAACTACATAATTGACTACCTTTGACAGTGTCTCTGTGCTGCAATCCCTCCCCCAAAGAGAAACCAACACATCTTAGCTAGCAAAAAGCAGTGTCGCTATTAAACACTAGGAGAGTAGCAACAGTTTTTGGAAATAAATTTCAGGTGCATTCATTTAATGCTGGAGCCATTATTAAATCATTTTAAGTAGCCAGATAGCTGTAATGAAGAAGAATAATATAGCTGGGTGTGTTTATTTTTATAGCTGTGCACTGAGAGCATATATTCTGCCGCTGAATTAATGACTCATGTCACAGCATCATAATAAAATGTAATGGCAGGGGAATTTTTTGAGAAATAATGGTGTTATATTTCAGCCTTGGCAGGGTGTCATTTCCCATGACATTCAGCAAGCTCTCATACCACAATCTCCCCATACCACAGATGAAAGTACTGGAGCAGGAGAACGAGCATCTGAGCAGTACCATCGCCTCCCTGCGGCAGCGGTCCCAGATAAGCGCAGAGGCACGGGTCCGAGACGTGGAGACTGAGAACCGGGTTCTCCATGAGTCCATCAAGGAGACCAGCGGCAAGCTTAGCAAGATGGAGTTTGAGCGTAAGCAGCTGCGCAAGGACCTAGAGCTCTACAAGGAGAAGGGTGAGAGGGCAGAGGAGCTGGAGCTGGAGACACTACGACTGGCACGGGAGAATGAGGGCCTGCAGAAGCGTGTGGCCACCCTGGGGATCACCTGCGAGAAGGTGGAGGCCCTGGAGCGTGAGAACACGCAGCTGGAGGTTGAGGGCCGACAGCTGAAGAAGAAGCTGGACAGCCTGAGGAACACGGCCCTGCAGCTGGAAGCTCTCGAGAAGGAAAACTCCCAGCTCGACGAGGAGAACCTTGAGCTGCGACGTGCCAATGAAGCCCTTCGATCTGTCGGTACCAGGCTGGCTCAGCTGGAGCTGGAGAACCAGGAGCTGGAGAATGAGCGAAGCCAGCTGAAACGCAGCCTCGAGCTGCTGCGAGCCTCTTCCAAGAAGACCGAGCGACTAGAGGTGAGCTGCCAGGGCCTGGACACCGAGAACCAGCGACTGCAGAAGGCGCTAGAAAACAGCAGCCGCAAGATCCAGCAACTGGAGGGGGAGTTGCAGGATCTGGAGATGGAGAACCAGAGCCTGCAGAAGAACCTGGAGGAGCTGAAGATCTCCAGCAAACGGTTAGAGCAGCTTGAGAGGGAAAACAAGGTGCTGGAACAGGAGACGTCACAATTGGAGAAGGACAAGAAGCAACTGGAGAAGGAGAACAAGCGTTTGAGGCAGCAAGCTGAGATCCGAGACTCCAAGATGGACGAGGACAACCTCCGTATCGCCCATCTAGAGAAGGAAAACCGTTCACTCAGCAAAGAGATGATCTTCTTCAAGGACTCCTGCACCAGGGTCAAAGACCTGGAGAAGGAGAACAAAGAGCTGGTCAAACAGGCTACCATAGACAAAAAGACCCTGATGACCTTACGGGAGGTAATGACATGGCTTATTGACTGATTACTGTTGATCTGGAGTCTCCATAGACAAAAATGAACTGTTAGAGCAGGAAATGCTAGACTTTGATTGACATGCTAAATGTGATAATTATTGCTAAATACTGATGTATGTCATTGATTTGTGGTGTTTCCAAAACCATTTTTGATCATATATGTGACAGTGCTATGTCTGTGTGCCATGTACAATGTACAGGAACTGGTCAGTGAAAAACTGAAGACTCAACAAATGAACAATGAGCTGGAGAAGCTGACCAATGAGCTGGAGAAGATCGGCTTGAACAAGGAGAGGCTTCTCCAGGATGAGCAGAGTTCAGATGACAGGTATTACACGTAGACACACACATGCAGCCAAAGTCCTGTCCAGCCCAACTGTTACAGCCTGGCTTTTGTACTCGCTTGGGCAATAAAGGGATCATGTTCCTTGCCAAAGCAGCCGTTTAACCACTGGCTTACAGCAATTAGTGATATACAGTACTTATTACCCCTTATCTGCCTTGCAAGATGAGGCGCTTCCACTGTTTCAGGAGGCACATGAGATTTAATCCTTACGTACGTAACCGGCTGTAGAATATCCCAGCAAAATTAGGTTCAAAGAATGCCTGATAGGGTATTTTGTTTGCTACCGATATGACAAGGGAACAAAAAACTTCTAATCTAGTTTTGGAAAAACTTCTGGAAGATTTCCTGAATCATCAGTGTTCTATGCCCGGGGGGGGGCAGAGGGGTATAAAGCTACCTGGAAATGTTCTGATTGTTCCATGCCTGCCTCCACCGCGCCGTCTGCTGCCCTCCTCCATGCAGCCCTTCAGTCGTGTCCCCATCTCTATTCTTCACAGCAGGTATAAGCTGCTGGAGTCCAAGCTGGAGTCCACGCTGAAAAAGTCCCTGGAGATCAAAGAGGAGAAGATCGCTGCCCTGGAGGCTCGGTTGCAGGAGTCATCCAACCTCAACAAGCAGCTGCGGCAGGAGCTGAAGACTGTGAGTCTGCAGGGACTCTGTTGCCAATGTCCTAAAATTCTATTTACATATACAGACATTCAATCATCTTTCTCCTAAGCAGCATAAAAAGGAGTGGGACTAAGCGGCTGGGTGTCATGTGGCTCTGTGGTTTCGGATGCTGTGCCTGTGATTAGAAGGTCACCAGGTCAAATTCCGTGGTTGGCAAAGAGACATCACAATTGGGCCCCTCAGCAAGGGGCTTAACCCTTAATTGCTGCAGAGACTGACCCACCCTGCATTCACAGTTATGTCACTCTGGATTAAAGTATCTGCTAAGTAAATGTAAATAAATGACTGTCAGGACAGTAGTGAAGCGGTCTACAGCATTTGCTGCTGAGATGAGACTGCAAACTCCTCTCCAGCTGGCCTCTGCTCTTGTGGTGATTATAGTAATATATTTGAGTTCAGGTGGGCATGGCGGAGGTTTGAGGCTGATGGGAGGGTCACTGGCCGAGGCTGACCAAAGATCTCCACTGCAGGTGAAGAAGAACTACGAGGCCCTCCGTCAAAGAGAGGAGGAGGAGCGCATGGTGCAGAGCTCGCCACCTAGGGCCGGGGAGGAGGAGGTGCAGGCGGTAAGCAAGTGGGAGAAAGAGAGCCATGAGGCGACGAGGGAGCTGCTGAAGGTGAAGGACCGGCTGATCGAGGTGGAGAGGAACGTAAGTGTGTCCCTCATCGCAGCTGAACACGGGTGGCATGCCGTCTCAAACCTCTGACGGCTCTCTGATGGCTGCTGTCACCAACTCACCTCCGCAGAACGCCACCCTGCAGGCAGAGAAGCAGGCGCTGCGCACACAGCTGAAGCAGCTAGAAACTCAGAGCAGCAACCTGCAGGCGCAGATTGTGTCCCTGCAGAGGCAGACTGCCTCGCTGCAGGAGAACAACACAACGCTGCAGACCCAGAACGCCAAAGTGCAGGTAAGCTGTGCAGTGTGTGTTCGGAAGGTTCCTCATGTTGACACTGGGGCTGGATGAAATGCCTAAAATATCACAGTATTTTCAGAGATTTTCACAATATTGATAACTTATCTGTAATTCTACAATTCATATGTAGAAAACAGAAATGTGATAGGTGGTTTTGAATTTTTATAATTTATATGATGATAAATTACCAACAACAGACTCAAACATTGATGGAATTCATGTAAAAATAGTGCATTATTACTGTCTATTATACGAGAACACAAGCGTTTAGGCTGTATCACTATATTCACAATATTCAAATTGACGATATGAATAATCACAATATGATATATCGACCAGCCTTGCTTGACACACCTTGAAGTGACAGCCCCCTTTTCATGTGTTACATTTTATGATTGTAAGTATACATATATTTTTATGATTTTTTTTTTTTCCATGTATTAGTAATAATGAGTAAATGATTTGGGTGTTTGTCACTCTGTTGGCTCTTTGCTTGCAGTCAGACTGAGGCCTTCCTTTCCCTTGCAGGTGGAGAACTCCACCCTTAGCTCTCAGAGCGCCTGTCTCACAGCCCAGAATGCCCAGCTGCAGAGCCAGCTGTCCAGCACGGAGGGCGAGAAGGATGGTGCACTGCGGGAGCGCGAGGACCTGCGCGCCACCTACGAGCTGCTGCTGCGTGACCACGAGAAGCTGGCTGCGCTGCATGAGCGGCAGGCCTCCGAGTACGAGGCCCTCATTGGCAAGCATGGCGGCCTGAAGGCAGCGCACAAGACCCTGGAACTGGAGCATCGCGAGCTGGAGGACCGGTGGGTCTCCATGCTTGGCAGACTGCTTCTTAGTCTGTAGATATATCAGCGATAGCTTCACTCTGCCACAGCGCTCATGAAGTCCATAAAATGTGTTCACTGTGTTCTCCCAGGGTTTGTAACCATGTCTGGTTGTGCATTCCAGGTACAACCAGCTGCTGAAGCAGAAGACTCAGTTGGAGGAGCTGGAGAAGGTTCTGAAGGCAGAGCAGGAGAAGATGCTGTCTGAGAACAAGAGCCACGAAGCCACCGTGGCAGAGTATCACAAATTGAAGGAGGGTAACGAGAGGTATGTCAGCCCCGCCCCTGCCCTGTGATTGGCTGGCGTGGTGTATCAGAGCAACCAAGTTTTGTAGGTTTTATGGGGGGG